CCACAAATTTCGACGAGTGACAGCTTGTGAGACGCTCGGTTTACGGTGCACGTGCGGCCCCTTTTCGGGAGGAGACACGGTTCACGACTGATGCCGCGGGAGAGGAGAGAGAGAGAGAGAAAGAAGGAGCGAGAAGGGGGAAGGGAGGTAGTGTCGCGGATCAGTATCCCCGGTAAATTAAAGGGTAGCGACATTGTGAGGCAGTACACGACAGAGGCAGTGAGAGGTAGCCTCGTGTTACCGATACATTTTCTGCTTTTTCGTAATGCATACACCTTTCTCCTTCTTCTTCCGCAGGCGATATTTACAGATGTCCATTCGTCCCCTCCGGAATCGAAAATCCAACTACTACCTCGCCGCGCGTCTTGATGGGTCTCGATCGAATTAACAGGACTCGACGTTACGATGTAATGTTACATCTGGCAATGATACGATAATGAAGGCTCGCGGATATATATAATTATACTGGTTACCGGTCTTGCGAATGTCTCCGCTATGCGTGTCGGGGACAGTATGCAAAGTGCTTGGCATACATACATAAATGGCTCGTATCTCATTAGCCCCCCTTGCGTCATTTTCGAGGGAGAAACTGAAGATGAATATCGAAATTATTAACGATACGGCTGATTTTAGCAACTTAGCGTAGTAATGTGTAGTTTGTTCTGAGTTATGGATAACAGCTGTAGACTCCCAATCCCCCTTCCGCGTCTCCTCCCCCATCGCCAACCCGTAAAATCGGCTAGTTACGAGCCAAGTGTGTGTTCTCCGAAAGATGCAAATCGCCCAAAAATTTCGCACGATAGATTTATGAGATTCATCTGCATGGTTACCCGATAAACAAATGCAGATGGAGCGTAAGATTTGTTTGCGACTCTCTCGTTATGCGTTTTGTCAAATAACGCAATTTCCGTGGAATTTATCACACGCCAACGAGCTGTTTCTCAATCTCGCGGACACGAGAGTCACCTTGGCGAGATCATATTTTCGGCCTAATAAATTTTTTTTTAGCGAATTTATTCAACGTTATTTTATATTGCTCGTTGACATTTGCGAAGATGGAAACCGCACGAAGAGATGCACGAGGAGAAAGGAACGTCCCCTGCATCAACCAGCACCGGGGTGACGTCGGTTATCTCTGTGTTTACGGCCGTCGTTGAATCTTAATTAATTAATAACTGAATTAAATTGCCGACTTCCTCTGAAATCAATGACGCTCAGCTGGATCTCGTCTCGTCAGCCGACAAGCTGGACGGGAGCCTGGACGACGCACCACCAGGAAAGATTTACGAGACGTTCGACCGCAGAGATGAGTGTCTCTTAACGTCATTAGCGGTTAGAGCCTTTTTCGCCCCCCCCCCCCTCTCTCTCTCTCTCTCTCACTCATCTCGCGAGCGCTTTGATCGACGCGGCGCTCTTTCCACCGATGAGGAATCACGACGGGTGATTCGAGACACGCTTGTCTCGCACGTGGAATGCGGGTTCCCGGGCTCGTTCGACTATCGGACAGCCAGTCAGAAAAACGCCACAGCCGGCTCCTCAGTGGCGTGGAACGCGTCTTTCAGGGACGTTCGCCAGCGTTCGTACGCGACACGTAATACGTATCGCTTTTCGCAATTTTTTTGCGAGCGTGCAATTGGCTCCTTCCAATCGTTACCCAAGCGTTAGCGTCGACCTCGTGGCACACAATACTGGCCGTGCGAAAATACCTGCAGTATTTTCGTGCCTTGTAAGAGGTATAGGCTATACTACAGTAATGTACTCTATAAGCGGAGAAAAGTTCATTGAAACCGCGATAACTCGAGCCGAACCACACGCGAGAGCGAATTACTAGCGTCCTCACGGCTCCGCGTTCCGACCGCAAGAGTCAGATGTTCCGGTAGATAAAAGCTCTGGCGGATCGGATCGAGGATGGTAGGACGGGAGAACAATCGCTCGATTGCCGACCGTCAACGTCGTCGTCGACCGGGGAAGGGGAAAAAAACGGAGATTTCGAGATATTCCATAAATGTAAGATGTTCGAATGACTCCGATCGAGCCGTTGGTGGCGCGGGGGACCGAAGGAGAGAAGTAGATACGTCGAGCACGTAGCGCGGGGGCCATCAATCCTGAGCCGAGACGTAGACGAACAGCCGTGGGCCACGGCAAAGCGAACCGACATCAGTCCTCCTCCTCTTCGTCGTCGTCGTCGTCGTCGTTGTCTGCAATGCGAAAAGACGAAGCGCGCTCGGAAGCCGAGGACGCGTAGACGCGCCGGTGGAAGCCGCTACTTAGCAAGCAAGCATGGTGTCTTAAAACCATGCCCGCGCGGGTCCCCCTCGGGACATTCCCGCGGCCCCACCGGACCTCCCGGTGCCCCTCACGAACTCCTCCGCGGGGGCATCAAAGAACCGCGCCTCCTTCGGAATTCTCTAGTTGTTAACATTTAACAGTGATGCCTCCCATGCGATTTTTGTCGCGCATGCTCGTCGAGTTTTCTCCGTCGCGACGGATTCCCTCCCCTCCCTCCGGCTCCTCTCGCGCGCGGTTCCTAATGAAACGATTTAAATTGAGGAGCAAGAGAGACGCGCCGCGCGCTGAGTTCTTTTGGAGAGGCTTTAAAGGAAGGGGCGGCGAAGAGACGGCTGTATGTCGTCAGATACGTCATAAATCTGGATGTAAATCCGTAAATCTTAACCCGTCAAGACGTCAATGAATTCGTTTAACGCAAAATACTTTATATTCTTGAATAAATCACGCTCCCAAGATTTAAGGCGCTAATGTCTCGTATTTCGAGTAAATTATTATTTTTTTTAATCAATCATAAAATTCTGGCCAATAATTCTCAGACAGAAATAAAAGTTAATACTTTTTTTTTTGACGATAATTCATTCACCTCCATAAACTGTTCGAGCATCCACGTCACGCGAATATTCCCGTATCCTTTTGTACTACGGCGCAAGCTATACGAGAGGCGCGTCTTCGCACACGTGCCGTTCTATCGCGCGTTCCTCGACGGCTACCTAGCTATTCTTAGTTTCCGTCGAGCGCATTGTATCAACGTTACAACGGCGCGGAGCCTGCAGTCCCGCGGTGCAAGGGCGAGGGTACGGTATAGGAAGGACCGGGGACAGTTTTATAGAGACGAATTCTCGTCGTAAAGACGTCAGGACCACCTCCGCAACTCCCGACCTGTCTTCGCGAAAACGTTACGAGTACCGGAGGATTCACAAGTTACCCCGTTACCTTTCCTCCTCGTCGTCGCCGCCTCGCCACGAGGAGACACACACACGGGTCTCCTGGTCGCAGTCACTCCCCGCCCCCCCCCCTCCCTCTCTCGAAAACGTCGTCGGGGCTGGAAACGACTAGTAATTTCGGTCACGTTAAATCCTCGCGATCCAACGACCGACCGATTCTCGTCCGTCCGTTCCTGTTTTCACGTTTTGCGCCCCGAACGAGGGAATTACTGCTTTATTGTTTTCCGTTCCTCTTTTCTTCCAGAGAGAGAGGAGGAGGGGGAGGTGGGTCAGGCGCCTCGCGCCCGCTTATCGGTAACATCTCGCGTGCGCGAAAAACGTCCGTAAATCCTCGCCGTACACATTTCCGCCCTTTTTGACGTAGCTCCACCTACTCGCCGTGCCCGATTCTCCCCCGTGCTATACGTAATAGAGAGCGCGGGGGAGAGAGAGAGAGGGCTCTCCCGATGTTGTTGCGTCTGACAAGCTTTTTCTGGTACAATAAAAGTCAGAAAGGGGCAATCTATTACCTTCTCCCTACGGCCTATTCTGGAGAAGAGCGGAGAGGTCTGACTGCACCGCCGCCGCCGCCGCGGCCGTTTCGAGCCGTGGTCGGCGCCTTTTGATCCGCTCCTGGCTCCCTCCAAGTCCTGGCTACTGGAATTTTCTATTCGCTACCAAGACCGCTACTTATTGCCGCGCTTCTCGTCTCGTTAATTTATATACGTATGTACGCACAACAGTGAACTCTTCATCCTCCACCCGTCCGGGGACGCACTCTTTCTTTTTTTTTTTTCTTTCTCGTTCCTTCGACGCGAGCGCAAGCAACGTCCGTACCGCGGTACCGGTCGGACTTTTGTTGCTGTCGCAGAAGGGAAACAAGCGGGCCTACGTGTCTACGTGACGCAGTCGCCTAATGGTTTCATTATGCCCCTCGCTATTGCCCAGATATAAACCGAGATTTCTTTAAATCTTGGAAATCGACATAGGTAATATCCTTTCGTTCTAAGAGGAGCTACTGTATGAAAATTAAACGTAAATTTCTTGACTTATAACTTCTCACCTCGTTATCTATATAATACTTTTATATAAATACTAAATATGAGGATAAAATTAACATTTGAATTGATTTATGTTAAATTATATAATTATATATAATCCTTTCGCGCTTATACGAGTTTCCAGAATCTGCACGCGATGTGACTGCAAGATTGATTATCCACGCACACGCACGAATATCGATAGTCATTGCATATGCAGGCATCGCAAATGATCAATGAACGAAATGTCTCCAACAGTGTGATAAGTCAATTTAAATAAACGTTACATAATCAATATCTAATACAGATGTATGCCTGTGTATCGCGCTCCGTGTATTGTGATCTGGCAGTGCGCGAGTGTGCCGATACTGTCGCAATGAAAACTCGACGCTGCAGGACAGACGTCGATCAAATTCAGATATCGATGCCCGCCTAACATTTTAACGCACACACACGCACGCACTTTTTGCTCGCGATTCCATTTTCCGCGCTCGTGTTCTAACTATGCCCTGCGGTGTATCGTGCAACGGAAAGAGAATCACCATCGCCGAACTCCAAAAGAATCCGACGCGCTCGGTAAAACGAGGCCGTAGATCTCGCGGCGCCGTTAGATGTGACACGTCTGACTGCCGGCCTCCCCTCCCTCCCCTCGCCACCCCTCCCTCGCGTTAACCCTTTCTTTTCTCCTCGACTTAGCCGCTGCCGACTTGGCGGCTTCGATACCCGTCCGTCACGAGCCGTCATTAGCTCTGGCCAGATTCCTATCTGAACGGACAGCTGAGCCTCGATCTGGACGGCGGAAAAGAGCATCGGCTTCTGCGAGCCGCCTAGCATTAAAGCCGCCGACGGCAAGACCAGGGTCAAGGCTTCGACAACCCCTCAACTGCCTGTCAGCTACCTATCGATCAGCGTCGCTCTGTAGCCGCACGGACTATCCCGGCGGATCACCGTTTAAACGCAAACGAATCCAAGATTTGACAATTAGGTATACTTTCTCACTCTTATAGCTATTTCTTTAACTTCCACATCATAGAAGATTGGACACGTTCAAGTTTACATTGATTTATGATCAAGCATTAATTATTGAAATATTAAAATGATTTATAATATAATCCTATTTCGTCATGCAAAAAAATACTTCTTTTATGTAAATATTTAATTTTATGCTTATTGTATGACATATTTAATATTATTGATAAATATTTTGTTATAACATTTTTATTATTATTGCAAAAATTATGTTAGAAAAATAATATATTTTATAAGAATTATATACATGTGTGTGTGTGTGTGTGTGTGTGTGCGCGTGTGTGTGTGCGTGTGTGTACAATATCACTTTTAAAAGAAGTTAAGCAGCAGTAATTATATAGTATGTAATAAAGATGGCTTGTTTAATGACTTGCAAAAATTTTATCGTGCGTCCAATCGTTATGTGTGAGCATTTATCTATTTACTTCCCTGAAAGAATGACCGAAAGGGTAATCATCGGAGATAAGAATATTCGTTGGTGTTTCGAGGAAATGCTCATTGTGCAATTCCGCTGCCTCGGCCGAGGAGATAAACGCGAGTCCATTTTGACGTGTCAGCTAATCTCGACGTGACATATCACGGTGGCTCGATCGATCACCAGGCCATTACATTGTCTGATTCGCTGCCGCCGCCGCGATAAATTATTACTACCGATAAATCGGTAAAGAGAGAGTAACGCCACCGGCGGATAGTAACAGGTCCAGACACGAGTGACTCGCGCAGATAACTCGCAACACGTTGCCCTCTCGACAAGGTGTCAGAGCTAATGCCGGCTTCCTTTACTGATTCAGCAGTTGGTTCCACGCTAATTTGCACTCCGAACCACATTCTACTCCCTCGCGGAAGGATCTTCTCGCTCTGGGAATTGACTATTGACTTCGATACAATGTCGCATAGAATGAGAGAAGATTAAAACGTTAAGGTGAAAGCTCGGGTGAAAGATACGGTGCTCTCGATTTTACATTTTAAACAGCTCTGTAAATGGTATAGCTGTAAAATAATTTGCAACGTGGGGTGATTTTTTACTTTTCATTGTTACTCCCATTATTCAGGTAACAATGAGACGTTATTTATGGTCCTTTTGATGTCAAAATGACATCTTTGATGACATGTTGACGTTAAAATGACAAATAATGTCAGTTTACTACCTGAGTTATATCCTGTTCTTTTTCTCGGTCTCTCTACACAAACAAAAATGGCAACTATGAAGACGATATCTATATACAAGTTTTTCTATGTAGAATTAATGTACACAGTTCAACAAATTATTTTATATAGCTATTGCAACTATGAAATAGTTTCCAACTATGTAAATTAATTCTACATATATAAGACGTAGGTATGTAGTTGTCATCTTTATAAGTGCCTTGTCTTTTTCTCTGAGTGTATATTTAACTGTTTAGCAGAAGTCTATCCCGAGCTCCACTAATTCTGTTCGCGCGGCATTTTTTCGAGCCGATTGAATGGCCTTAAAACAAACCTAAAACCCAACGCGACATGTCAAGCGAGAATTGAAACGGAGTTTTTGGTGCCCGGTCACGACCAGGCACACTGGCCTGAAACGGCCTGTTAATGACAAGGCGTTAATTTAGGAGGAGGAAATATCTGCCGCGCAGAGCCGCAGCCGGCCGTCTCGTCGGGCCGTTGTCGAGCATTATGGAGGCCAGTGCATCAGGGTGATGAACGATGTTCCCGCGACCGCGGTGCGGCGGATGGGCCCCGCGAGTAAATGAAAAGAGGCTGGGAAGGGTACAGCAAGAGAGAGAGAGAGAGAGAGAGAGAGAGAGATCTGGTAGCGACTGGCGTCTACACTGGCGTGAATCAGGCCAAACCTTCAACGGCAGCGGACTAAAATCTCTCTATTTATTTTCAGGTTTCAGGTTTATTTTCAGACCTGTACTTGCATGCGCGTTACCTTCATCACTCGAAATTCCTCAAAACACCTCGACGATTGAGAGCGAACGATGTCATAAATAGATGTCATAAATATGAAATAATATCGATTACAAGGTATATACATCTGATTGCGACTGAAATATAAAATAATTCATTATGCTGTGACGATACTAATATTAGCTGACGCGCTTTCATTCTATCAACGATAAATGTATAATATTCTCTGTTTGTGTGCTTATAAAATTTTAAATTTTATATTTAATCATTGGTTAATCTTATCTTTTAGAACAGAAATTGAAGCAGAGTTTGTGCCACTTGATTATGCAATAATATGATTATATCAGCGTTATCAGCATTAATCTTTTCTACAAGATAAATAAGAATAATCTAGAGATAGCTCTTTATACGCGAGAGAGATTGGAACAAACTAAACGTCGGAGATTCGATACTTTATCAAACATGATTAAACTAGAAATAGAAACTGTAAAGCAAATAAAGCTGGCACTCGTGTTCAACATTTGATTAAATGAACCGATAAGATATTTAAGTAAGATATCAAAAGCAATAAAATTACATATCGAATCTCAAAATAAAACGTTATTTCGCGTTATCGCTAAAATAATATATCACGTCATGCGTATGTTGTAGAATCATTATCAATTAAAATAGATATCTTTGATACTTCCTCATAACATTTTTTTTGTTTGTTGCAGTTTGTCTATAACTGTACATTGTATTCATCTGATAAATTGTTTGCTTGTAAATTAAATCAGCCTTGCCGTTGATTGCCATTAATAAATTTTCCCGGTATAGAAAAAATATCTGAAGCTAATCTATGTAGCTCAAGTGACTGCAACATTACGTCATCATTAGAAGAATTACTAATGCGAAATGAATTTGTTATAATAACCGGATCACACACCGGGAGCGTCATCCACAGAGAATTCTCCGCGAGTGCGTTGACGTCACTGCAATCCCATTTATTATCTACTCTTTTCATAAGGAATTAAAAGAGAGGGAAAGAGATCCGGCGATAATGGCAGCGAAACTTATGCGTACGCGGAATTGCAAAATGGCGAACGTGCAGGCAGTAAATCAAGATACGAAGCTCATCGGGTAGCCAGTATATTGCGACAGTTATACGAGCCATCCATCATCATTTAGAGGCGGCATCTATCAGCGTCACCACTCCGCGAGAGCGATAATGACGATTCAACGGCTTAGCGGCTCGCTTTGACCCACGGCAGCCTCTACAATCGTTAATTTACAGGCCTTTCCTCCGCCACGACGGTGTGTGTATCTCGCGTGTAACCCTTCCGATAAAGTCGACGGCTGTCGTGGTAATCGCCTCTGTCAGTGGTTCTTTCCATAGAAAACCTCTCAAAAGCGAAGTCTCGCCGATAATGACTTCGTACCTCGACTCCGTATACCCATCATCGCGCACGCAACGGCGTGTTACGTGCCGCGGCGTTGGATCTTCTCACGTGTCTTGGGCCCATCCATCCATCCATCCATCCATCCATCGTGTCAGATGTATCACATCTCGTGTCCGATAATTCCAGGTCACCGGGCAGAAGGGCGCGGGTAGAAAAAGAGCAATTACATCGTGGAGATGTGTTGCGCCGAGGGGAGAGAGGGGAAAGAGGGGAAGGGGATATCAGTCATATTTTTCTTCCCCTGGGATTTTTCGCCGAGAGAAGTCTAGAAGGTGCGTTTAGAAGCTTGTTTCATCGAGCAATCGGCGGCGGCGGCGGCAGCATTGAGGAGAGAGAGAGAGAGAGAGAGAAAGAGAGAGAGAGAGCAAAGAATGGGGCGGACCACGGGCTGAGCATTGTACGCTGATAGATGTGTCAAATCCGGGTCGTATTGTGCGCGCGTGGAGATAAATGGAGCCCGGGTGAAGAAGCAAAACACGTGCCTTTGTTGCCGATCTGCTCATCGAAGGTAATTTGGAGCGCTTCTCCTCGATGATATCCGTAACGGTGGTGCCAGTAGTCGCGGGCGTACATATTTTGCCTTGATTTAACCGCGGCCGCCCGGTAACGGCGGTAACGACCAATCTATCATTACGGGGAGGGAGGAGGGGGGGCACTTTGCATATCGATACCGGTCATCGATACGTACGATCTTTCCTGTGCTATGAGAATGCCAATGTATCCTTGCGAATGTATAATTTGTTTAATAGTTACATTTCGTTGCAGCAAAATCGATGATTTGAGCTTCCGCACTGGGAAAAAATATCTGGTTGCACTAATTGGAGATCTGAAAGATTCAACAAAAAAGGTTCAAACCGGATGCTTAAATTAATTTACCAAACATTCTAGATGAGATAATCAGAAATTCAATAACGATAAAGGAAATTCTGATTGTATTTTCTGGGTACTTCTTGTTGCAGCAACCAAAACATCTTTCTTGTCAGTGTACAATATCACGGGAAATTAAATAAACCTCATTGCTCTACAACTGGATGTAAAAAGATATTTTTATGTTCTCTAGCTGTCAGTTGGAGGATAAAGTGTATCAATAGCTGTCTCCGTGTCATTGAAAGTATAAACGTCGTGTCAGATTTTTTCCGAGTGGAACTTGAATCGTGCGTCGTAACTTGATTTCGTGGGTTCGCTTCTAACAAATTGCGGACGAGATGTCTACCCCGAGTCCGCGTGTCGTTCATTCGAAGCGCACATAACTCAGTCCGCTCTCTCGTGGTCTTGCTCTATGATTAGCTTGCCCTCCCGCGGAAACGTTCGGCAAAGGACCGGGGAAAGAAAAAAAAAGAAGAAACGAGAAAGGAACGACGGCCGGTAGTTGCACGTCATCCGAGAAAGACGCATCGCGATCCTCGCGCCGATGTTGGAGAGGAGAAAAAGAGAGAGAGAGAGAGAGAGAGAGAACGAGAGAGAAAGAGAAAAAGAGAGAGAAGAGAGAGAGAGAAGGCACACTCCGCCACCCCGACGACACGGCTGGGTGCGGAGCTGAAAGCGAGAATTCTCCCGCGGCGCGGAGCCGCGGCACCCGCTCCGCATAAATCATCCCGCTTCTGCTTGGAACAGGGAGGGCGAAAATAGATGGAGCTCTCCCTCTTTCTCGCTCCGTCTTCCCCGTCCCGGCTTTATAGACGAGAGGAGCACCCCGCGCGCACCCGCTCGAGGATATCCCGTGGGTAACACACGACGAGAGGTGCTTGCTACTTCTTGCCCTCTCCGCGTGCGAAGTTCACCTCCTCTACACCTCCCTCTATCCCCTGGCCATCGTCTCTTCTTCCCTGTTTGACGACGAATAAAGATCTCCCAGTGCCTCCCACACATTCCTGTGTCCCAGGTATCCGACCCGAACAACGGGAGATTCCGCCGAAGGTCGCGAGAACCCTCGCTGTCCAAGTGCGAGTCTTATGAAAAAGAAAATCCGTTTATAAACGGAAGTATCGCATTCTGATCGGTGACTTATGCGTAAAGGCATAATCGTTCTCGGGTCCTAGTTCGTCCTCGATTTTTCTTTTAAAGATATTTTAAACAAGGACGAGTGTTATAAAAGCGAAAATATAAAAGCGAAGGACGGGGGAGCATTGGGACCTCGGGCGGCGGGCATACCGTGAATGTCGCATTACAGACTCGGGGGAGTTCAAAGAAATAAGAAAAAATAATGAATCTTCCTTCGTTGGTTATACATCGTTTTCGTAGGAGTGGAACGATAATCTTCCGCATTTGATAGATGTGTCGAGCGATGATCGCGCAAAAATCAATTCGTACCTGTTGGTCGTCGGCATCGAGCATGCAGGACCGGAGCATTGCTAATGCCCGTTTTGCAGTATTAACCGCTGTCGTTAATGCCTCAAAGTCCTCGGGAGACTTGACATTCCCATTATATCCAGTCTAGTTCAACAGTACGGGTATGCCAGCGTCATGCTGAGCCTAGGCTTCGTGCGTACGTCATAAATCTTCGCCCTGTTTTTATGTGTTTGACCCCCGAGCGACTGAGTCATTATTAGACGCAGCTTTCAGCCTTAACCCACTAAGAATTCACAAAACCGCACCGTGACCGACGAGAGGTCCCCCTTTCTCCGTTTTCTGACATTTATTGACCGACCGACCCGACTCGGAGGGGGGAAGAGAGTGAGAGGGGCGGGGGGACTCACTTCCCTCCCTTGGTCCGAAAGTGCATCGAATTTATCGCCTTGTGTCAACGGCTCTCGTGTTTGCCGCCGAGCTACCCGTCTTACCCTATCTGATTTCACGCTTGTTCCTCAATTCGTAAGAGGTGTTGACAAGGAAGTCAATGTGTAAATGTTTAACCACCGCTGTGGTTAACACCTTCAGTATATTCCAGAACGTACCCAGATGGCCTCGAGAATAGGAAAAATTCTTTTTACGTATATAGGAACAACACCGATGTTACTGCGAAGATATATCCGCATAGAACGTATATGCGCCAGTTTTTTTTTCTCTATCCGTACAGCCTCTCTTTCGTAACGACTTCTTCGTTTTCCCCCGACCGTCCGTCAGCGCTCGGGTGTAAAACCGACAAATCATGGCCGGGCTCGGCCGGTCAGAGGGCAGAGCGACGTGAAAAATTGCCGACGCTTCCATGGAAAACTAATAACGCCCCGCCACATCAAACGCAATTCCGGGAAATTATTACGCGGGCCACAACCGCCGCCGCGCGGCTTATACGGCGCGCAACGTTTAAGGCGGAGGTGATGCGGTCCCTCTACGGTCCTCTGGCCCGGTCGGTGAGTAACGTCCCGAGTAATATTACGATGACAGTAATTGCCGCTTTGATCAATGCGGACCCGACCGCGAGTAGGCGGCCCGTCACGCCACCGGGATTCAACGCGATCCTTTCCGGCGTACCTACACCGCCCTCCCTCCGGAGGAGCGTTGCATGTACGCCGCTTATTGCCAGGGGATGATACGAGTTATCGATTTCGCGCGGCGTGTTTCGCTTTGTGCTCGAGTTCGGCATGAGTGGAGATCGGAAATGTCGAGGACCGTTCGACACTTCGCGCACGCTCTCTCTATCTCTCTCTTTCTCTCTATACGTTTGTATTACATTCCTCTATTTGCTGAGGTTGAAACGCCGCAGATGTTTAATATCGGAGCGCGTGTTTTCGTTTCACATGAGACGATATTTTATCGAACTTATTTCAAAGGCGTTTACATATGTATTTATTTTATCTCGATTAAAGAATCGTGAAAGAATGTCGGAAATCTATACCGTTTGTCAAACTGATACCTCATTTTCGATATAATTATAATAAAGTTCTGGATCTTTCCCAAAGAGAGTTCTGACGATTGAATGCAAAAAATAAGGATTCGAAAATATGGGATGCCAACTTCATGTTTTCGAAAATCTAAATCTCAATGATAAATTTACGATGGGTAGAACATCGTAATGTACCTTTGCCAGACGAGTTTAGCACTCGCGCCTGAAGCGAAAAGTGTAAATATCGAGAGATCGCAAGGCTCGAGATATCGGCGAGCCGGTGCCGATTCAAAATTATGATCCTCGAAAATCACCGGCGCTATTAGCAGTCGGGCGAATGACGACATCGACGCGACGCGATGCGGCGGTGAAGAAAAAGAAGAGACAGCAAGAGGCGAACGGCGGCGGCGGCGGCGGCGGTGGCGGCCGCTCTCTCGGGGGGTTTTATTTGCGGCGGAATAAATAAAAATTTACGAGCAATTTACAGAGGGTCCTCAGCCGCCAGGTCAGGGGGATCCATCAATTTACTCCGAAGTGCTCGTTTGGCGCGCGGGCTACAAAATCGTCGACGAAGTTCTCTTTATGAAGCTAGAATAGATTAATGCTCTCGTTTGTTCGGTAATGGCCCCGATAAATTATCTTAATAGCTCGAGGCGGCTATAAATATATTCTCCGATTCTCCCCGCGCTCTTTACGCTTGTTTTCCAGCTACATCTCTCGCGATCTCTCTCGGCGCGGCTGTCGAACTACCATGTTTTCCGTGTCACTTAATTCGAGGAGAGAAAATGCGTATCGCGAGTAGCCGAGGAACGGAGAGGGGATTTATCGCCCGTCATCGCGCGGCGGCGCAAATTATCGGGAGAGATCCGCAGAAAACATCTCCGCGCGCCCGGTCCGCCCGAACTGCCGTTTCTTTATATTCTTCCAGCGCAAATAAAATCTTTTTAGAACCCGAGGCTTCGGGGAAGTGATATTATAGCTCGCCAAACATATAATTCTCATAGAACGGTGGACGAGTTATCGAGAAATTTACGAAAAGAAAAAAAAGGGGAGAGGGGACCGATATACGTATATTACAAATGAGTCGTTTTCGTTGCACAATGGTTGCTAATGTATAACGGCGCTTTTAACGGCGTGTACAAACGACATAAAGTCGACATGAAGTCGAGGAAAGGGGAGAAAAGAAAGGAGCGGGCGCGGCGAAAGACGACGACGAAGATGGGTCCCTAACGCGCGGCCCGACCGAAAATAATCGGTCGCCATTAGCCGCCGTGCGCTACACTCCACCGGAAGATCAAACGGATCCTCCATCCGTCAACGGCGCGCTAATGCACACGTTTCACTGATGCGCCGCGTCGCCGCGCGCCGCGCCGCCTGCACGTCGGTATTTGGCAGAAATTAGGTTGGTAATGCGTCAGCAGCCGGTGCCGGGCGAGCACTTAACGCCGTAAAGTTGTTTGATGGCACCGCTATCACCCCTAACAGTTCCTAACAGTCCGACGCCCACCTCGCGCCGTCGCCCTCTCCCCCCCCTCCCCCGTTCTCCCCCCCTCAAGTCTGACACTGCAACCGTGAGTTATTCACTTAATGCGGCCATTACGCGCTCCTCGATGGCGCTTCATCCTGATTTACTCGACAAGCATTTATTGCTTCTATCTCGGCGGGCGATATTAAACCCTCCGCTCGCATTTCCTACGTGCGTACGTTATACCTACGTATATGCAATTCGGTCTCGGTGACGTGTTGAAATTGATTTGAGGACGCGCGGGCCGAGCCGTTTGGCATAAACAATCGCCGGGAAATTGGGACGGTCGGTCGTCGCCGTCGTCGCGAGCCCCGCAGGGTCTAATGAAGACTAATTACTACGCTTCGGGATGGGATCTAATAAACTCATCCGACAGCCTGATTATGCGCCTTCGTTTCTTATGGGACGGATCATTTATGCGTCTCTGAATCCTCGGGCCAATTTATACCCTTCGTTAACGTTTATTCGCATTGTTAAAAACGATAAATTGATGGTACGACTTCAAGCGTGGGTTAGCTTTTAACGCGTGGGTGACAACGATGGAAGTGTATGTATTACAGCTGTCGGGTGCTGTTCTTGAAACGATGCCCGACAGATACTGCAAACAGATGATTCAGACAATTCGGATTACTTAGCGTGTCGCGCTTTCGCATATACGATATGTAAGCTTCGCTTCAAGGGACGATTCCCGAAGCGAAACGACGCCTAAAATTAACAGGATAATT